ACTAGAGGACTTCTTTCAGGTACGCACAAACCCTAAACCCTAAACCCTAAACCCTAAACCCTAAAACCTTCAATTTTACGTTTGAAACAGGTTTCTGTTGGTTAAAAAAATGAAATTAGGGTTTAGGGTTTAGGGTCTAGGGTTTAGGGTTTAGGGTTTAGGGTTTAGGGTTTAGGGTTTGTGAACAGGAGAGAGGAATAGAAGTGTTAGAGCTGCCAACAGAAGGAAGAGATTTAGAGGATTTATTAATATGCAGTTTAATTTATTTATCTCGGCGGGGAAATATAAAAAACTTTGGGGTTGATACAGAAGCGTGGCTGCTGCAGCAGCAGCAGCAGCAAGAGGCTCGTGAGCGTGCTGCTCTGGAGGAACAAGAGCAGCAGAAGCAGCAGCAGCAGCAGCAGGAGCAGCAGGAGCAGCAGCAGCAGCAAGGTAGAGATCTTATGCGATTAAGAGCCATAGAAACACACGAAAAGAAAACCCTTCTCCTTCGGTGTACACCCCTTCGTTACTATCTAATGCAGTTTGTTCTTCCTTCTCTTTCTGCTGGGCTGCTGGAGGTTTGTAGGGTTATGCCGGAGGACCCCATCACATATCTAGCTGAATTCCTATTCGCCAGGGCTAGACAACTCGAATAGGGTTTAGGGTTTAGGGTTTAGGGTTTAGGGTTTAGGGTTTAGGGGTTGGGGTTTTGGGGGGCGGGGGGGAGGGAACGGGCTTTTGAGGGATTTAAACGAACACAGGGAATAGGGTTTAGGGTTTAGGAAGGTTTAGGGCTTCTTAAACCCTAAACCCTAAACCCTAAACCCTATCGAGGGTTTTGTGCCCCTTTAGAGAGGCATACGCACTGACAACATACTCCTTTATGTTGATATATTTCTCCCGTCTTCATTTTCGTTTAGGGTTTGATGCTTGGGGTTTGGCGTCTAGGGTTTAGGGTTTAGGGTCTAGGGTTTAGGGTTTAGGTCTAGAGGCTGTACTAGGATCTGTACTAGCAGCAACAGATACAGAAACCTCAGCATCTATTTACTGGTTTGCTTATTTATACATTTATTTATTTATTTGTTTATTTATTTATTTATTTCTACAGGTATATAAAGCATACATATGTGCATCTATATATGTATGTCAGTTGCTCATATAAGTAATATCTTGTTCCGTCCTATATCTATCGACTCCAGTGGGTTTTCTTGGGTTTACTACGTTTGTTTGAAAGCAATTTAAATACATTTATATTATTTTAAATTATTTTAATGATATTTGTATTTATTTCAGTGTATTTTGGGTCTGTATCTGCATAGATTTCTATACAAACAAATGCTGTACAACAGGGAGGCGGCCGAGGGTGACCACGTGTTGCGCAAGCAGGCTGCCGATCTGTGATGGAAATGCGTCATTTTGTGTATAAAAAACGCCATTTTTCGCCAAAATAATTTGATTTCTGGAAATAAAAA